TACCAAACATAAGCATTGCTGGGGACTCGCCCGTTGTTGCGTGTTCGACATTTCTATAATACATTAAAAATGCCCATAACGCCCTATCTATATTTTGATTATCTTGCAACGCCTTTTTTATTACACGTTTTAATGTTCTTACCGCGTTTTCCGCCAGACCATTCGAGGAAGGGTGATAGGGTGCCGTAAAAACATGCTCTATGCCGTTGTGCTTGTTAAAATATTCGAACTCCTTCGACGTGAACTGTGCTCCATTGTCCGTTACTATTTGTCGAGGTAAGCCGAATCTACTAAATAATTCATTTAAGCGGTCAATTAAACAGTTGGCAGAGATACTCGTCATTTTATGAACCTCAATCCATTTCGACATGGCGTCAACTACTACCAAATATATTTTTCCCGCGATGGGACCCATGAAATCCAAATGAAGCCGACTCCAAGGCCGTGCGGGCCAGGGCCACATTCGCGGCGAGTTCCGCGCCGGCGCATCCGCCTGCGCCGCGCAGGTTATACACTCACGGCACGCTCGCTCCACCGCCTCCTCCATGCCGGCCCACCATACATAGCTTCGAGCCAGCGCTTTGGATTTCACTATTCCCATATGAGGTTCATGAATCATAGCCAAGATTTTGTCCCTGCAATTTTCCGGTACTACTAACCTATGACCCCACATTATACAGCCCAGCTCCTCGTATAATTCTTTGTGTCTATTCCAATAAGGTTGAAGATTAGTAATTTCGCAGTGTGATGGCCAGCCGTCACGAATATAACTTAGTACTTTTGATAATAATGGATCCCGCAACGTCTCCCGTTTAATGTCGTTATAGTCTAATGACAGAGCTTGTTGCACAAAATGCAGGTACGTTTGTTCGGATGGGGTTGTCACGTTTCGTTCAGTTTTAAGCGGTAACCGCGATAAACCGTCCGCCCCATTTTCATCTATACGGACATACTCGATGTCGAACGAATAAGTAGATAAAATAATTGCCCATCTCTGCATACGACTAGCTACCATGGTCGGTATTCCCGTATTCGGGCCAAAAATGGAAACTAAAGGTTTGTGGTCGGTGCGTAATGTAAAACTCCTCCCGTATAAATATTGGTGAAATTTATTCATGCAAAAAATAATAGCCAGCGCTTCACGATGTATTTGGGAGTAATTCTTTTCCGCGTTATTTAACGAACGCGATGCAAAAGCTATGGGCCGCTCGCTCCGGCCCTCGTCATCTACCTGGGAAAGGACGACCCCGACTCCCCGCGCGCTTGCGTCACAAGTAACAATTAAACGTTTCTTAGGGTCATAATGCGCTAGTACCTCGGCACTGGACAGTATTTTTTTAATTTGAGTAAACGATGTTTCGCAATCCGACGACCAGTACCATTGTTTATCTTTTTTAAGCAAATCGTACAACGGAAATAACTTATCACTCATATTCTTTATGAATTTGCCATAGAAATTCAATATACCTAGAAACGACCGCAACTGCCGTGCCGTGTAGTGGCGGTCAAGAATATCCACTACCCCATATCCTCCCGTGGGTGTCGTAAAAGGCGACAAAGGGAAACAGCCAGGAGATGGGCAGCAGCATCTTCCTGATAATAGCCAAATGACAATAAAAAAACTGCGGTTGCCAACCCGCTCGCCAAGCGTGGCAACTATGGCAAATACCCCCCAATGATGAGAGCAACAAAAAAACGGCCCCCAGTCCCCGACGGCCCCGCTATTCCTGGCTACGGTGGCGACCATGGTAACGGCGGGGCAGGGGGTGCTAAGAATCTCCGGTGGAGGTTCGGTTGCCACCTTAGACGACTCGACCTGGCAACGTACAACGCACGCACCCTGAGGACTGACGAGAAGATCGTGGAGCTGGAAGAAGAGATAGACAAGTTGCGCTGGCATATTATAGGATTATCTGAAGTCCGAAGAGAGGGGGAGGACACGGTAATCCTCGAATCCGGCAACTTGCTCTATCACCGGGAGGGCGACCATCTGTCCCAAGGAGGTGTCGGATTTATCGTCCACAAGTCTCTCGTTAACAACGTTGTAAAAATCGGGAGTGTGTCGACGAGGGTTGCGTACCTTATACTCAGAATCACCAAACGGTATTCGCTGAAGGTCATACAGGTTTATGCACCAACCTCGGCACACCCCGATGAGGAGGTGGAGGAAATGTATGAGGATATCTCTAGAGCCATGCATTCCTCCAAAACCCAATATACGGTGTTAATGGGAGACTTCAATGCAAAACTAGGCACAAGAGAGAACGGTGAGCTGAAAGTAGGGAAATTTGGAATAGGGCAACGGAACCCAAGGGGCCAGCAGCTGGCCGACTTCATGGAGAAAGAGGGACTCTTTATGATGAACTCTTTCTTCCAGAAGCGGTCCCACAGGAAGTGGACCTGGTCGAGCCCCGACGGTTCCACAAAAAATGAGATTGACTTCATTATGACGACCAGACGACAACTGTTCAGTGATGTCTCCGTGATCGCGAGGGTGAAAACTGGTAGCGATCACCGAATGGTTAGAGGCACACTGAACCTAAACGTTAAGTTGGAGAGGTCTCGTCTAATGAAGTCAACGCTCCGTCCCCCTCGTGCTCTGTTTCAAAGTCCCGAAACCTTTCAGCTCGAGTTACAAAACCGTTTTCAGTGCCTAGAAGACTGCAATGAAGTGGACGATATGAATGACAAGCTCGTGGAAACTGTCCATGCGGTTGGAGCTAAGTTCTGCAAGACCCGCTGCAGAAGAACACAAAAACTCTCCGATCACACTCTTAATCTCATGGCTGTTAGACGGGAGATGAAGCTACATTCTTCAACAGACTTGACAGCATACAGGCATCTGAACAGACAGATCTCCAAATGCATGCGGCGGGACTTACGCAACTTCAATACAGCTCGTATTGAAGAAGCGATCGAGCGGAACCAAGGCTCCAAAGTCTTTGCCAGAGATCTGTCTGCCAGAAAGAGCCAACTGTCAAAGCTGAAGACGGAATGTGGCAGCATCGTTTCCGGGACACCTGAGATTTTGAGTGAGATTGAGAGGTTCTATGGGCAGCTGTACACATCATCGTTGGAGCCACACGCAAGTGTGAGTAACGATCCAAGAGCGAGTCTCATCCGACACTATTCCGAAGATATCCCGGATGTCAGTCTGAGCGAGATTAGGATGGCTCTCCAGCACCTTAAAAACGGTAAGGCCCCAGGCGAGGATGGAATTACAGCGGAGCTTCTGAAAGCGGGTGGAAGACCGGTACTTGAAGTCCTTCAGAAGCTCTTTAATTCCGTCCTCCATGGTGGCATTACACCGGAGGCGTGGAGCAGAAGTGCGGTGGTCTTGTTCTTCAAGAAAGGTGACAACGCTCTCTTGAATAACTACAGACCGATTTCCCTTCTGAGCCGCGTCTACGTGCTGTTTTCGAGAGTCATTACGAATCGTCTCGCGCGCAGACTTGACGACTTCCAGCCTCCCGAACAAGCCGGTTTCCGAAAGGGCTTTAGCACCATAGACCACATACATACCCTTCGGCAAGTTGTACAGAAGTCCGAAGAGTACAATTTGCCACTATGTCTGGCGTATGTGGACTATGAGAAAGCCTTTGATTCCGTCGAAATTTGGGCGGTGCTGCAGTCCCTTCAGCGGTGCCAAGTTGACTGTCGGTATATCGAAGTGTTGAAGTGCTTGTACAGTAGGGCTACGATGGCTATCCGAGTACAGAACCAGAGTACGAAACCTATCCAATTGCAGAGAGGTGTAAGACAGGGTGACGTCATATCCCCGAAACTCTTCACCGCTGCATTGGAAGATGTTTTCAAGCTTCTGGACTGGAAAGGATACGGTATCAACATCAATGGCGAGTACATCACTCACCTTCGATTTGCCGACGATATAGTCCTTATGGCAGAATCGCTGGAGGACCTAAGCACTATGCTCAATGACCTCAATAGTGTTTCCCAACGGATAGGTCTTAAGATGAACATGGACAAAACTAAGATCATGTTTAATGTCCATGTCACACCTATGCCGATAGTTGTTGGGAACACTAAGCTCGAAGTTGTTGACGAGTATGTTTACCTGGGACAAATAGTCCGACTGGGTAAGTCCAACTTCGACCGAGAGGTCAATCGACGGATTCAACTCGGCTGGGCAGCGTTCGGGAAGCTACGACACATCTTCTCGTCAGACATACCTCAAAACCTTAAAACAAAATTGTACAACCAGTGCGTGTTGCCAGTGATGACTTACGGAACTGAGACGTGGTCCTTCACTGCTGGCCGTATGAGGAAGCTCAAGGTCGCTCAGCGAGCTATGGAGAGGGCTATGCTCGGAGTTTCTCTGCGTGATAAACTTAGGAATGAGGATATCCGCAGTAGAACCAGAGTGACCGACATAGCCCAACGGATTAGTAAGCTGAAGTGGCAGTGGGCCGGCCATATAGCTCGAAGAACCGACAACCGATGGGGAAGAAAGGTTCTCGAGTGGCAGCCTCGTACCGGTAGGCGAAGTGTAGGGCGTCCCCCCACGAGATGGAGTGACGACCTGGTAAGACATGCAGGAAGTCGATGGATGCAGGTGGCTCAGGACCGTGTTTTGTGGCATTCTTTGGGGGAGGCCTATGTTCAGCAGTGGACTTGTGAAGGGCTGTAATGATGATGATGATGATGACCGCAACTCCGTCACGTTAGTCGGCCTGGGTATCCCTAATATCGCTTCTACCTTTGAGGGATCGGTTTTAATGCCTTTGCTACTTATAATATATCCCAAATATTTCACCTCATCCACTAGAAATACACATTTACTACTTTTTAATTTGAAACCCGATTTATGTAGTCTACTTATGACTGTCTCCAGAGCCTTTAAATGTTCGTCTTTAGTTTTCCCTCCGATGATGACGTCATCTAAAAATATTTCTACGTTAGGTATCCCCTGTAGTACGTTACACATTATACGTTGAAATATTCCCGGGCTCGACGACAAGCCATAGACCAATCTGTTATACCTATACAAGCCCCTGTGTGTATTTATGACTGTATATTTTTTTTGTATCATCTAACTCGATCTGGTTGTATGCTTGTGATAAATCTATTTTGGAATAATAGCATGCCCCGCTCAATTTTACCATCAGGTCATCAATTCGTGGTAAGGGATATCGATCAATCTGCAATACCGGATTAAGGGTTGCTTTATAGTCAGCACAGATTCTCAAGGAGCCATCCGCTTTATTTACCGGAACAATCGGTGAGGCCCAGTCGGAGCAGTCGACGGACTCAATGATGCCGTCCCGCAGCATTGCGTCGAGCTGCGCGTCGACTCGCTCGCGCAGTGCGTAGGGCACCGGCCGTGCGTGGTGGAACACCGGCGCCGCCCCGTCCCGCAACCGCAACGTCGCTTTGCCACCCGTGAACCGCCCGAGCCCGCCGCTAAATAGTTCCTTATACCTAGAAAATATTTTTTTTATTTCATTTGACATAGACTCTTTCTCATTCGACAAATGGTGACAATTATTATTAAATGCGGGAATTTTTATGCCTAATTCCGTTAACCATTGTCTGCCGAGTAATGATGTAGTGCCCCCTTCGATAACAAATTATTCTAATCCTTTGGTTCGGCCCGCATGGCGGACGACCGGCTTAATTATACCTAAAGGGTTTATTCTGGAGCCATCATAACAGTTTAACACTATTTTACTATTTTTAATTGGATGATGGTTAAAATACTTTTCATAGGTTTGCCTATTAATACATGACACAGCCGCACCCGTGTCCACTTCCATTTTAATTGTTTTATTGTCAATTATTACGGGTAAACTCACCGGTTGGTAGTCGTTTAGGCATAGATGGTGGAAGTCTGCCTCCGGTACTTCTTCGTTTTCGACTGCTCCGTCTGCCCCGCTATAGTGTAATGGGGCCGCCGTTTGTTTTCTCCGTGTCTTACCGGCCGCGTCTGGGCACACGCGTCGCAGGTGGCTTGGGCGTCTGCACATGCTGCATATATAGACCCGGAAACGACAGTTCGAATACTCATGATCCGTCGCTCCGCAGCCTCCGCAATTGAACTGATGACCCCCAGCCCCAGGGTCACCGGCAGAATTGGTGCGTGCGCTACTGCGCGTGCGCACCGTCCCGCGCGCCACGCCCGCGCCGCTTCTCGCCGCTGCTCCGACGATCCGCTCTCCCGCGCCGCCCCCGCGCCGCACCCGTCCCCGCGTTGCCACGCCCCGCCACGTGTTCCTGAATCCTGGTATCCTTCCCCGTTGTAGTAGCACCTTCCACTGCCGCCGCGTCCCGCTCCGCTGCTTCGAGAGAGGTTGCAATTTTGACTACGCTGGTGTATGGTAGCGACTCAACCTCCGCGAACAACCGTTGCCTAATGACGTCGCTTCGCAGCCCGCAAACAAATTGATCTCGTAAGTTCTCATTAAGAGCCTCCTTAAACATACAATGACGTGCCAGCTTCTTTAAGTCCGCGACGTAGCTCGCTATATTTTCATTGCTACCCTGCCTGCGTTGTCTGAATCGGTACCTCCAGCGTGCACGGATGGTGTCGGTTGTAAATGCTGACGTAGGAGTTCCACTACGTCACCGTACGATAGTTCGGATGGTTTCTTTGGACTTGCTAGGTTTGCCAACAATTCGTATGCTTCATCGTCGATTACCGCGATTAGTGTGGGTAATTTTAATTCAGCTTTTATTTGATTTACTAAGAAATACATTTCCAGTCTTTCCACATACGACGATCATGCTCCATTTCTTAAATCAAATTCACCGATTTTCCCTACCGACATTCTAATATTTACTACCGCAACAACGTATGCACAAATTCAACGCTATCCCAAACTCGTTAGCCACTGTAATGTTTTAAATAATACACCGTGCGTTCGCTAAGACGTTTAATTCCCGACTGCCGCCGCACGGACAATCTCGTGCCGGCTACCTAAATCTATATACCTACATTACAGATACGACTATTCCTCTTGAGGGACAAAGAACGGTTAATGCTATGAATGGTATGCTAGCATTTGTTTGCCACAGGTCGTTTCTGAACTCCGTAAAGAGAACTGCAACCGTCGCATCATCCTCCATCACGACAATGCGAGTTCTCACACCGCACACAGAACAAAAGAGTTTTTAGAGCAAGAAAACATAGAATTATTAGACCATCCGCCTTACAGTCCCGACCTAAGCCCTAATGATTCCTATACTTTCCCTAAAATAAAGAATAAATTGCGTGGACAGAGATTTTCATCACCTGAAGAAGCTGTGGACGCCTACAAAACGGTCATTTTGGAGACCCCAACTTCCGAATGGAATGGTTGCTTCAATGATTGGTTCCATCGTATGGAAAAATGTGTCAAATTTCGCGGAGAATACTTCGAAAAGCAATAAATACATTTTTAAATAGTAATGCTGTGTCACTTCCTTGATTCCCGAAATTTTCAGTACCGCCCTCGTATGTTTGTAGCACGCATGGGTCGGCTCGACCGGGGAAGGACCACGCTCTCACAGAATACCAGCGTAAAATAGCAGCTCAATGCTGTTGTGTTTCGTATGAAGAGTCCTGACATGTTAGGTCAAATCCATATGCTATCTCTACACGTATTGGGAAGGACGTAACTCTCACATACTGCAATGAAATAGCAGCTTAATACTGTTGTGTTTCCGTGTAGTGGCGGTTAAGAATATCCACTACCCCATATCTTCCCGTGGGTGTCGTAAAAGGCGACAAAGGGAAACAGGCAGGAGATGGGCAGCAGCATCTTCTTGATAACAACAAACTAACAATAAAAAAAACTGCGGTTGCCAACCCGCTCGCCAAGCGTGGCAACTATGGCAATATACCCCCCATGATGAAAGTTACTAAGAGACGGCCCCCAGTCCCCGGCGGCCCCGCTATTCCTGGCTACGGTGGCGACCATGGTAACGGCGGGGCAGGGGGTGCTAAGAATCTCCGGTGGAGGTTCGGTTGCCACCTACGACGACTCGACCTGGCAACATACAACGCACGCACCCTGAGGACTGACGAGAAGATTGTTGAGCTGGAAGAAGAGATAGACAAGTTACGCTGGCATATTATAGGATTATCCGAAGTCCGAAGAGAGGGGGAGGACACGGTAATCCTCGAATCCGGCAACTTGCTCTAATACCGGGAGGGCGACCATCTGTCCCAAGGAGGTGTCGGATTTATCATCCACAAGTCTCTTGTTAACAACGTTGTAAAGATTGAGAGTGTGTCGACGAGGGTTGCGTACCTTATACTCAGAATCACCAAACGGTATTCGCTGAAGGTCATACAGGTTTACGCACCAACCTCGGCACACCCCGATCAGGAGGTGGAGGAAATGTATGAGGATATCTCTAGAGCCATGCATTCCTCCAAAACCCAATATACGGTGTTAATGGGAGACTTCAATGCAAAACTAGGCAAAAGAGAGAATGGTGAGCTGAAAGTGGGGAAATTTGGAATAGGGCAACGGAACCCAAGGGCTGGTCGACTTTATGGAGAAAGAGGGATTCTTTATGATGAACTCTTTCTTCCAGAAGCGGCCCCACAGGAAGTGGACCTGGTCGAGCCCCGACGGTTCCACAAAAAATGAGATTGACTTCATTATGACGACCAGACGACAACTGTTCAGTGATGTCTCAGTGATCGCGAGGGTGAAAACCGGCAGCGATCACCGAATGGTTAGAGGCACACTGAACCTAAACGTTAAGTTGGAGAGGTCTCGTCTAATGAAGTCAACGCTCCGTTCCCCTCGTGCTCTAATCCAAAGTCCCGAAACCTTTCAGCTCGAGTTACAAAATCGTTTTCAGTGCCTAGAAGACTGCAATGAAGTGGACGATTTGAATGACAAGCTCGTGGAAACTGTCCATGCGGTCGGAGCTAAGTTCTGCAAGACCCGCCGCAGAAGAACACAAAAACTCTCCGATCACACTCTTAATCTCATGGCTGTTAGACGGGAGATGAAGCTACATTCTTCAACAGATTTAACAGCATACAGGCAACTGAACAGACAGATCTCCAAATGCATGCGGCGGGACTTACGCAAATTCAATACAGCTCGTATTGAAGAAGCGATTGAGCGGAACCAAGGCTCCAAAGTCTTTGCCAGAGATCTGTCTGCCAGAAAGCGCCAACTGTCAAAGCTGAAGACAGAATGTGGCAGCATCGTTTCCGGGGCACCTGAGATTTTGAGTGAGATTGAGAGGTTCTATATATATTACTGTCTATTATAACGGTGGTAGAGCCCTGCAGCAGTTTTTTGCTGTTGCACGTATGGGCCGGCTCGAGCCGGGTTGGTACCACGACCTCACAGAATACAACGGTGGTAGAGCCCTGCAGCAGTTTTTTGCTGTTGCACGTATGGGCCGGCTCGAGCCGGGTTGGTACCACGACCTCACAGAATACCGGCGTGAAGTAGAGGCTCTGCTTCTGCGTTTCGTCTGGTGAGTGCAGGTGGCCGGAGGCCCAATTCCCCCCCCCCCCCCCCCCCCCCATCAACATGGTAGCGGAATTAGACAATAGACTACCCCAGGAGGGTACCAGTACCCCTGGAGAATCCCTCGCTGAGCATCCACGACCATGTTATTCCAATCCTGAGCGTGGGTGCTCAGGCTGCCCCGCGTATTCTGGGGGGGGCAAAATTCCGCTCAAAAACAAAACTGCTCGGGGCAAGCTGAGCAACAATACCAAGGCGACCCCTGCCACGCTATCCGTGAATTTCTGCAACATCAGGGGACTTCACTCTAACCTAAACGCCGTCCACTACCATCTCGAGACGGCGAAGCCGGCCTTGCTCTTTTTGACCGAGACGCAGGTTTCCTCTCCGACTGATATTTCGTATCTCTCCTACCCGGGGTACAAATTGGAGCACTCCTTTGTGCCTCGGGCTGGAGTTTGCGTGTATGTTAGAGAGGACATCTGTTCTCGACGCCTCGGCAGTCTTGAAGGTTCGGACCTGTCCATCCTTTGGCTACGCGTAGACAGCGACGACCATCCGCGCGTCTACGGGTGCCTCTATAGGTCCCATAGCGGTAATGCCGAAACAGACCGACTCATCGACCACGTCCAAATGGCTACAGATTCCTTGCTACAACAGGTCCCATCCGCAGAGATCGTGATCCTTGGCGATTTTAACGCCCACCATGCTGAATGGCTCGGTTCACGTTTAACCGATCATGCGGGGAGATCTGTTTATGACTTTGCCTTGGCATATGGTCTGACACAACTGGTTACTTCGCCTACGCGGATTCCAGATGTGGAGGATCATACACCTTCCCTGTTGGACCTTCT